ACATATAAAACACAACTGAAATGTAATAATAGCTAAAAATTAGTTTCATTTCCAAATAACATGTATATAATTTCAATAAAAAAATCTGTTAAAAACCCGTAGTGTCGTGTGTTTTTATACTCACACTAAGTTTAAAATGAGGAAAACTATGCAACTATTTACAATATTAAATAAACAATAATTATCCTATTAAATCACTACGAGGTATTTTAACTTTTAACCTTTATATAATTTTATAATATTCAAAAAATAATATATTTTTTTATTTTGTAGGCCAATTTGAAGTATCTACGTATTTCATATAATTTTTAATTGTGTATTAACTAATTGAATATTTAAGTAGACGAATACCTACATGATTTATAATCTTATTTTTTTTATTGCCAAATATTTAGTTATTTGTATATACCTACTAAAAAAAAAAACAAATATATAATATACTATTATAAACTATTTTATATATATTATATGGTAATTATAATGTATAACATAGTAGTTATGAGAAAAATCACCAAAATTATAACTTTCATCAATTAATTATTTAACATTATTGAAAAAAAAACTACTTAATAAAATGATTGAAACGCATTCATAATAATATGTATTTTAAAGAAACAGGATTATTTTATTACAAAGATCTTATAAAAGTAAATAATTAAATATCAAACATACATATTTTTTTTATTTTCCATATTTGAATAATAATATTTTTATAGAAACCCTCTTGTAAAATTACAGTTTCAGATTATATTAAACATAAAAATTTTGAGATATTATTCTTAATGCCTTGTTTTTATACATACTCGGTGTTTTTTTTTTTAATTTTAAAAATATTATAACGATATTATTACATCAGATTAATATTAAATAACTGATGTTTTCATGGATTCCAAAATTGATGAAATTATATCCACTGTAACTGCCATCAAATAAATGAATAAATGAATAACTTAATTCGATTTAGAAATTAATATTAAATATAATTTCAATTAATAATATTTAGTTATTAATAATTAAAAAAAGGAATTTATCTGTTTTTGATGAATAATATATTGTATTACAATAAACAAATTTTTTTAACAATAATCAATATTTATCATGATGTTCCGCATAATTAATGTAAATTAGTGATTAAGTTTAATATAACTATTAAAAAAAAATGCAGATAAAGTAAATAAATTACACATTTTCTAGGAACTGTTAAAGATTACATATATGTATATTATAATTATTCTGCAAACTCGAGTTAGCTGAGAACGTTGATTAGAGCTAAATGTTCAGATATAATATTTTACGTAGTGTTAAATATTTTTAAATATAATTGAAGTTACTGAAACTGTATTTATTGAAATACGCAATGGTTATTTTCAAGCACATGTCGTAAATAATAATTAATGTTAATTTAATAAGTTAAAATGAGAAATCCAAATATTAAAACAAAATTAATGTAGTTTCAATTTTAATAAATAATAGTTTACGTATAAATTCAACATTCTAGTGTAACGCAGTTAGTTTATTATCACCAAACAAATATTTATGTTTTTATCTTCGCATTGATCATCAGACATTTTTTCATAAAATTTGTGCTTTTACGACCAGGTTGAGGACTAATCATTTAAAATTGAAAACATGAATTTTTTTTACTGTATTACCTAAGTTTATTGCATTAAACGTTCCTTTACATGGTTAATATGTTTTTAGATAAACTACTTAACTGGGCTGATCATATTTAGCAAAATGACTATTGTTCAACCAATGACGAAACCTTTAGTTTCTATTAAATAAAAATAAAATATCAATCTTAAAAATTAATTAMTTTTATGCGAAACGTCGTTAATGAATATTTKGTCTTATGGCATCCAAATTTGAGAAGCAGTCAAATAATCAAACTTTAAAAACAGTCTCAGCATTCGAATCAACTACGTGTATTTTATCTGATAACGATAACGGGTGCAGCTTTTTATGTTACCRATCACCCTAGACAATTCAATCTATGCATGAATACTATATCTAAAATTAGGTCCATATTTTGTAAAGGATTTCGATGAGCCAACCACTCAAACTTCAACTATAGAGATATTAACTCAAATAACGTTCCCGGAAATCTAGTTGGATTATTTGCTTGCAAATGGTATAGAGAAATAACAAATCCAAATTAATTTCTWAATAATACCATGCATAATGTGTGTCATTGATGGATAGCTTATTTTTATTACATGATTCTTGCTAACTTAAACTAACCGATCATATGCTTATTGTACAAATCAATCATTTACAAATTGTATATAACTTATTAAAAAAAAAAAAAAATAAAAACCTTACCTATAGAGTTAAGCATGAACATTATTTTTATGGCATATATTGTGATGTTATACATTATAAATTGACGAATATTGTTTAAAATATAATATGATAATTAGTTTAAAACGATGGACGACGAATTAAAACATAATATGGCCATTATCTTATAAAGCGCATATAAAATAACTAGGTGGATCTACTGACCGACTAACGTAATCCAGGAAAGGTGAAAGAATCTCAAAAGATTATCTAACTATTAATAATGGTATAATATTTTTTTTAATTGAATATTTTTGCCTGTGTCATAGTATATACTATATTGTATCAAAATAATAGATTTGTATAATTTTATCGATAACGACTATCAAAGTTGAACAATTACCTCTGAAAATGTTGTGTTACCATTATAGAGACGTGTTGTGTGAAGTTTTCCAAGCTTATTACTATTCCGAAATATGTCAATAACAATTTGAGAGGGATAAACATAATTTTAAATCGTTTTCAATATAATATGGTACCTACATTGTCACACGTATTGATAGTTTTTCAACTATAATAATAGATATTTGGTTTGTCTACTATTCATAATTTATTGTGTATCGAACGACATGTAATTTGAGAATTTCAAATCACGTTATTAACAGAGTGCTTGTCTGTTTTAGCAGTACGACATCAGTGAAGTTTGAAGTGACTTGAAACGAATTATGTATTCAAATTTCTGTTGTATTGGTTTCATCTGCCAATATACAACAAAGTAAATTATTTTATACATTTTGAGTGTTTAGTGTAAACATGTGTATTATAATTACGTATATTTAGGTAACTCGAACTGGAAAATGATGCGAGCATGTATATTATAGCCGACAGTACACATTGTTTGAATGCAAACATTGCCATAATCTACGTTTGGGTGGTTGGGTACATTCAGAGASTTGGCACAACAGGCATTTTTTTGAAATTTTAAAATTCCAGTAATAATTATCATTGGCGTATGAATACTATTGTACTCAGAACAGTAAAGATAAATGAATGATGTTCGTTGTGCGAATGTCCCGAAAGGTATGTTTTAATTTAACGCTAAAAATATTCTCATTCAATTTCACAGGTAAACAATTTAAATGATGATTATTAAGCATCACTAGCTGCTGGTGCGTTATTATGTCCACAAATTATAAGCGACTTAAAAAATATTCTGTTTATGCGTTTCTTGCATTGCGACTGAGCATAAAAATAAAGAGTACCCTAACCATACGAATTTCCAAGAGCATATATTATAGCTAAATACATTATTAATACATACGTACCCTCTGTTTTTATTTACATTTTTTTTAGTGCTCGCAACGTGTCACTTTAAAATATTATATTGCTATTTTTAACTGTGTTTTTTTTTATATAATATTGTCACGTCATGTGTCATCTTTGTCAACAAATAGGAATTTACTGAAAAACATAAAAAAAAGCATTAAACTGAGAAAACGTTAATATGTGTGGCGAGAATAGGAGATATATATTAATAATATCGTATAAAATGGTTTGTAGAATCATATTGGTATAATAGAGTTTACATTTGCAGAGTATGTTACTTTTAACCAATTTTACCGATATTTGTATTGTTCAAAAAAGGTTCTAATATAATGTACATCGTTTACAAATTGGCCAAACATTCTATATTATGTAAATACACTAATGATTACCTGCCCCTTTTGTCGTATCCAATTTCTTTATTAAGCTCAAGTTTTCCAAAGGATTTTAAAATTACTCTGTTTATGTATTCAATGTAGTAAAAGCAGTAATATAACATATAARTAATTTAAAAATGCGCAAGAACTTACCTATGCGTGTTTTTTCTTCTGTTGAATCTATTGTATAGGTCATATAGAACGGCGATATGACTTTTTTTCCACTTGAGATACCTATTATTTATACATAGTTAAAAAATTTCCTATTTATACACATGGTTCTTTCGCCATTCAAAATGTATAAACATTTTTATGGGGTTATCCAACAAACATTATCATTTTTTACCCTCGAAATCATAAGAAACATCAAGATGATTCATTTTTGTTTCATGTAAACTGTTCAACTTGAAAGCACGGTTGTATCTTGAAGCAAAGTTGGAGATTATTATTGCATACCTACTATATAGATATATATTACAGATAATTATCACAACCACCAAAAACTTAATTCATTAGAGTTAATAAATTACTCTGTTTTTTTTTGTTTTAAGGATATATTCTACCTATAATACTGTATATATACTTAGAGGATTTATACTTTTGATATTTGATTATTTTTTGAAAATTTTTTTAATGAAACACAATTAGTGTAAACACATGCCACTACGCAAATAAAGTGCAAATTAAAATGATAGGTTTTAAAATAAATATGTAGGTAACTGTTTTATTAGATAGACACATAATATTATGATGATATTTGATTCTTGAACAATGAGTTCTAAAACACAATACTTTCTATAGTGACTAAAATACCTTCTCAACGAAATATCGCAGCAGTAACTAAAATTATTTTCTATTATAGCATTTCGATAATATCAAGCATTTTATGTTATTAATTATTCAATTATTCACAACGATAATATTTGTTGAATTTCGTAACATACTTAACTTACAATTCATAATTTTATTAATAATATAATATATTAAAATTTATACAACAAAACAAAACAAAAATTCAGCTATTATTGTAGTATAAAGTATAATAATAATGTTATGATTATATTAAATTATAAGGATGTTGAGCCGTTCATGATGGTATGTGATGCGAGGACGTGAGACACGTGACCACACCAACCACGGTTATTACGATTTGAGACCGGCTGTATCTGCTAGGCCCCCAATTGCCTGGAAAACAAAAACATAAAAATAATAGCAACATCGGTGGCGTAGAAATGAGATTTGTTGGTTCTAAAGGCCCGAGTCATATCGGGTTTAGTGAAACCAATGAGCAAATATTTACGGTGGTTGAYAGTACAACAATATTGCGATGAACAAAATATGTSATATAAAAATATGAAAAAATAGAATAGTAACAATAGTGTAAAACAAAATAAAATGTGTGACAAAAATAAATAATAAAAATGTTGGTCCGTTAATGATGCTGCCGAAGTGCCGAGAGGCATTTCGAAATGGATTTACACAATTTCAACGGGACACGCAACAACGTATTTAAAATAAAACTAAAACAAAAACGATTTCAACTTTCAAACTGCTTTAGTATTTTATAAATCTCTGTAGGTGAGAATTTTATATTAAAACAAACTCAAAGCGGATATGATTCAAACCAACAGACCAAGTCAAAACGCGTACAATGGATGTCATGTTCAAAATCGCATACCATAACCTGCAGTGCAATGGTTTATTAATGGTATTCGCAAAGCAATACAAAAACTTAACATATTATAATAAAATATATAGGATGTACTGAAAAAGTTTTATAAAATGTTTAAAAATTTAACGCGGAAAGTAATTAAATAGATATTATTATATTATTAAGTAAGTTTGCCTTTTTTTTTTTTTTATTACAGTCCGTAATTTTAGTTTTCAACCCACCACGAATACATGGTTTTATTCCCATCTGGTTTTAATATAATTTACGCATGAAAAATAAAAATCAGCAAGCAATTTCATATTGTGATTCACTGATTAGAAATGTTTTACTTATAAAAAATACTATGGTATACTACATTCTCGTATATTGAGGTAACAAAATATTCTCGTCTTCTGCAGACATGCACACACAGTTATTTCCTTTTCTGAAATTAAAATGCAAACAATCAAACAACTAGTACATACGATAAACCTACGTCCCTACCTATCAACATGTTTATTTTATTCGGTTTAAAATATATATACATCGAAATCGTCACGATTCTTTTCATTTTTAAGTTAATATATTTGAACATAATCATCAGTCTAGGGTGTGTGTGTGTGTATTAAAAATTAAATTTTATTCCAAGCACAACTGATGTAAGGGAATAAAAGCGGGTCATGTAGACGATTCTTTAGTGTCATTATTATTATTATTACTTTTTTTGTTCTTGTGTTTTTTCGTTGTAGCCACATTAAAGATAGAAGAGAAAATAYATTTTCACCTCAAATTTTTTCAAAATTGTTTTATTTAATTTCGATTTTATGTGTTTCTAACGTAATATATTTTTTAAACAAAATAGTGTATTAATTACCTAATTTGTTTTTTGATTTATCATTATATTCATCTTGATCTTATCAAAAACCAATATGAATATAATTGGTTAATACACAGATTGTTTAAAACACGAATCATTAATGAATGCATGATTATTGRACCTATACCTAATGGCTAATGCATTATTAGTACTTCGTCGGCAGTTATACTAAACTAGGTTTTTAGATTTTTTTAGATATTAAGGAAAAATAATCCAGTTGTAATCGTCATCTTCCAGCTTATACTGTAAATTATTAGTGACAATCGATGAGTATTTATCGTGTTCGAGAAGGAAAAATACGATAGCAACATCTGTGTACAAACCAAATAAATAATAGTAAGTAACACCTGTGTATATATATTGTCAAAACAAAATGTAATCAACGCGTGTTCAAAAGTTAAATAAATTGCGAGTGAGTTACAAAAAAAAAAAAATTATAAATACAAAACAACTAGCATAATAAATGTGTGCAAAAAATGAAATAAAAAGAAAACAAATGTGCTTTATAAAAAGTCGTACGCGATTGCCCACCTGAGGCCTCGAGTCTCCCAGGAACGGTGGGCCTGACGGGACGCGACTGATGCTGCCGGTTGTCCCGGACAGACTGTCCAGTTGTGTTTCGCACCACCGACACTTTCGGTTGCTTCACAACTGCGAACCAATCATAACACAACGCGATTGGTTAACAATTAATACCACAAACAGACAGTTAATCATAAGCGTATGCTCTCAATTTCACTGTCTATCACCGTTCGATTAAACCACTATCTTTATATTATCTCTACAGCCTTTATCTCTCACTCATATATTATATTATGCTTAATAATAGACTCATTTATAGGTTCTAAGTTAACCGTACAAATGTTTTCGCTTAACGTATTAAGACATTGAGTCTATAGTATATTTTTCAAAACTTTCAGTGTGAGAATGGAGGGGGAAGGGCAAACGAATTCTGTAACATTATTTCAATAAATATAATATTCAAACAGGTCTATGAAGATATTCTATTTGAAAGCTTTAAAACAAAATGAATTATGAATAATTTAGCGGAATATGACAAAATGTATTTTATTTTTGGCTMGTTATAAAATGTAAAASTTGAAATAATAATTATGATATATTGTTTTATTCGTTACATTAAACGTAAAATAATATAATTTTTATAATAAGTATATCATATATGTGTAGAAACAAAGTACTTAGAGGTTTACTATAAATGTATAATAATATGTTGGTGTATTGTGTCATATAAGTTACAGAATTATAAAAGTTTTTGGCTGTCAAGARCAATTAAGTCAATGTAATGTACAAAAGCGCGTCGTCTGCACGTTTAATTAGAAGTATAAATCAAACAATTCAAATAGGGATTCAAACATAATTTTTTATTAAGTATATCATAAAAACTTTGATTTTTTGGAATATCAAAGATGTTTTTGAGTAGGGTTTCAGTATAACGTGTTTAATATATAAAGCTATCTAAGTCTTTTATATAGAGGATTTTTCTTTAAGAGAATTATACGACCACTCGAAAAGAAAATATACCAATAAATGAAAATGTAGAACCGTAATTCTATAAAGCAAACTAGTTTAACGGATTCGAAACATGATAATCGGTATTAGCTAACATGATTTTTATTTATGTTCTTCTGAGAACCTTAACCATAAGTTACGAAATACTTTATACCGAGTTTAGAGCTCATCTTTTCTCATTTAGCACATTATATTTTTTGAACTCGCACCAACACACGGATACCACCTCCAATAAACGTAGCCACGTGTGTTATTCCTCACACATATTTTATCCGGCGAACGAGACGTAGAATCGTCGGTACTCGGTATTGTTTTTCTACCTCACGTGTCGATGATTTTATTCATACACGTAATTATACATACCTACTATTATGGGTKTTAATATTCAAAAACTACATATTTAGGAATACCACATAATTTAGTACGTGACGGTTGTAAACGAAAGTTTTATAATGTATCATTGATGGATAATATTATTATTATAATATTACTATATATGAATTCATGTGTATTTTTATGGATCGTAAACGTTGTCTCGCTTTATTTATGGTTAATATACAATTACAAAGTTTTCTTTACAAAATATGTGTAGCAGGTACTACTGAACCCAATCACCCATTGTACAATCATTATTTATGATATGCAAAGAAATGGGTCGTTTTCATAAACTCTGTTCCAAGAAGTTGTAACTCATCAAAGGATCATACATTCTTACCGTAAGCAACAATTGATTGAAAATAAACAATTTTAAATAATGCTAATAATGTTGGTACTATACGGTCTATTATGTACAGTATACTATTATTATTTTTTAATAATTTTCATGAACTATTAAACGAAAAATGTGTTAATTAAATTTTTTATTAACTTATTGAAATAAAATATAATATTACCTACAAAATGTGGTAGGCGGAAAAATGGCCACGGAAAAAAAACCCAAACTGAAAAATACACCCCGGAAAAAAACYCACGGAAAAAAAGCCCAAGAACATAAAATTGTAATCATTGTAAATTGTAATAATTTATAAAATGTGGTTGATTGTTGATTATGCAATGGATTTACAATCATATAATATTTTTATTTCTGTG